TCAGTTGATTCACTAAAGGAACAGAAATATGTATACACATACATATATGTGTGTGTATGGATACTATATGTATATATCCCTAAGTAAAGTAGCATATATATCTGCCTGCAGAATCAGGATGGAAAAGTGAAAAATGTGTGCTGCAGAGTCAAAAGATCCAATCAAATATATAAGGCCTGGAGCTTCCTGCAAGTCCATGCGGGAAAACTGAAGGGTCTGACTTGGAAGGCTGAAGGGTCTGTGCTGGAAGGCAGAAGGAACTGAGGTGAAAGTCCAAAGGCTCCTCTGAAGAAACAAAAGAGAGAACTTTCTTCTTTCCCTTTTTAGGCTACAGATGTATTGATTGGTGCCATTCGTATCGAGAGTGGGTTTTCCCTTTTCAGTTTGTGACCTACAATTCAGCCATCTACAAACCCATCAGAATAGCACTCCACTAATCTCATAGGCCTTTCTTAACCCATTCAAGCTGGCATCACAATTAGCTGTCACACTAGGGTACATTCTTGTGGCATCTTTGCAACGATGTAGGACTGAGAGGAAGAATGTTGACAGGAGTTGCTTCGGTGAGATGTCTTAGACATGAACCTGAGGCATGTAGCTAAGTGAAGGTTATCCAGAAAATCACCTCTTGTGCATCTGATGTATTATTATGCTTCTTAGAAACTTCAATGAATAATAATTTTTGAGTTATAAAATTATATAAAGCTGGAAGGAACACCTTTAAGTGTTTACATTATCTGAAAAACAAAACAAAACAAATATGGAAACTTCTCATGTTAATTCTGCAACCATAACAGTTATGAGCTTTCTGCCCAGCAATAGATGGCAAACCATAACCAATAATGAATGAGTTATTTTTAATTTCACATGTATGTAGAACCATAGATTTATTTCTTTTTATTTATCGTATTGCATTGTTTAAAAGAACACAAGTAAGGGGCTGGGGGTTTAGCTCAGCGGCCAAGCTCCTGCCTGGCAAGCGCAAGGTCGTGAGTTTGGTTCCCGGTACCGGAGAAAAACCAAAACCAAAAAAAAAAAAAAAAGAACACAAGTATGTATATTCCACTTTGGACTTTGTTTTGGTACAAAATTAACTTTCTAGAAGGTCTGGAAACTGAACTAGACAGTATAGTGTCACATGAAAAATGGGTTTTCTTATGAAATCCTAGATATGAAAAGAATATCTACTCAAAGCAATGTGATAATTTCTTTTAACATCCTAGTTAAAACTGTCAGAATTTTAAATTAACTAGTGAATTTTTTATAACATCTGAACCAAACCTTTACTTATAGTTTATATTTAAATACCTTGATAGTGTTGCATAGTTTTTTTATTGTGTTATTTATTTTTTATAGAGTTATTTTTTATTGTTGTCCTGTTCTTTTTACTTTGAGTGAGAAAAATTGCTGAGGGTCAGGTGTCCAGGGAAATAACATTGACATGAGAACCAGCAGCTATAGAGGAAAGGCTTCCTCGGAGAGTCTGACATTCAGCAGCTGAGTGAGCTTAGGTGTTCTGTTGACTTCATTTCCTAGTAGCACATGAAAAATTCATGAAGAACTACCACTGACAGAGTGCCTGCTCTGTACAATACAGCATTAGCGCTGACCTTTACATGAGTACTGCAAGCTGGGCATTAGTATGCCCATTTTATAAGAGAAGAGAGTAAATTTGTTAAAGATAAGCAAGTTGCCCGAAGTCACACAATTGATGTACAACTAATTCCAAACCATCCTTATATAAAGTCTGCGTGGTTTAGTCTATGAATTTATAATTCTATGAATTGCTTATATTTCCCTTTAGGAATCTCTGTCCTGACCACAACTTTTGGCTTTGTATGCCTTTCTTCCCTAAGAATTCTCTTGAAAAACTAATATTGATTTAACTAACCACATTTTGGGCAATTGTTTTTTGACAAATTTCTCTAACCGGGGCTGGGGATTTAGCTCAGCGGCAAAAGCGCCTGCCTGGCAAGCGCAAGGTCGTGAGTTCGGTTCCTGGTACCGGAGAAAACCTCCCAAAACAAAAAAAAAAAAAAATTCTCTAACCCTGATGGAATTTTCAGTATTTCACTGAAGGTGTTATGATAAATGAGCTGCATGCAGACTTTCAGTCTATATGTGGCCTATTATCGTTCCTTTAAATAATTGTTAAATTATTCAAAAATGGTGACCCTATATTTCTTGATGTTAAGAATCTTTTTAGCAGGGCTGGGGATTTAGCTCAGCAGCAAAGCGCCTGCCTGGCAAGGGCAAGGTCGTGAGTTCGGTTCCCGGTACCGGAGAAAAAAAACAAAACAAAACAAAAAAGAATCTTTTCAGCATAAGTTTTTACATCTTGTTTTGAATGTTTATTGCATAATTATGTCAGATATTTATCAGGTTTCATGGATTTCTCTATACAAATAAAAGAAAAAGTATACCTCATGAGTCTGGTCACCTGGTAATTCTTTGTAAATGATAAGGATGTATAGAGTCTGGGTTTATTATCTGTACTTATGCTAGTTCATCACTTTCAAAATATAATGCTGTTGCTGTGTCAGATTTTTATCATAGATTCTGAGGTCCACCTGTATAAAAATGTCTTCATGCTGAGAGGTTTCTTTAACAATAGAAAATTTTAAATGTTGCAAGAAGAAATTGGAAATGATCAAAAACAATTGCATTATTTTAGCAAGATGTATCTTAATTGTCCCGGAGCTTGATAATGTATTAATATTATAAATGAAGTAGATAGTCCTTGTAGAATCAAGGAACTAGTAACAAATTACTCTAATTATTTTAAAAAATTTGACAGTCAACATTCTTACCTTCTTTTAACTTCCACTGATTTAGCTTTCTGTGGACAGTTACATCCTAGAGTTCCAATTAAAGAGACGAAATTATGAGCTGTCTGTTCAGCCAGGAGCAAGGCCAAGCAAATGTTAAGAGGAGTTCACAGCATTTACAAGTAAAATGTAGACAATTTTTAAAAAATATATAAGGCACACATTACTCTTGCGGCTGTTATGTGGCAGTGGTGACTATCACACAGCCATAGAGCCTACTGACCCTAAAACTATCAAAGTGTATTGCAACACCAAATAAACTACCAAACCATAGCAAGTGCACAGTCCAAAGAAGGAACTTCTCTGGGTCTCTTATCCCCAGGCCTTTGTCTTCTTTTGATCCCAAGAATAAAACTAATTTTCACTTCTAACTGTATATACCTTTGTAGCTTTCAAATTCATGATCCTGTTGCTGTTTTCTGTTTTAAAAACTGAATACTCATTGAGTCTTAGGCACAATACTCACCATTTTCTATATGTGGTGTTTGGTAAACCTGAAAGATTTAATAACATAAATATGAAAATGGTCACCTAGGGATAGAACCATCGATGTATGATGTTGTCTAACTCAAAAGTGGTTTTTCATAATTCACACTGAGATGGAGCTAATTCCAAAGTCTGTATTTTCCACTGCACTTTATTTCCTTTTCATGTCCCTTTTTCAATCAATATCGTATAAATTATTTTACAGGAAATTTTGCGTATTTTAGATTCTCACTTTTAGTGTCTTTTAAGTGGAAAGTTTAAAAGAAAAACTATAGAGTGTTCATAATTAGGTATGCTTTGAAAATACATTGTGCCACTTTAGAAATTCTACCAGCCACAATGCATTTAAACACATGCTGATAAAAATTTTCTTTTCACTAAAACATCTGTTAGCTTAAATAATGAACAATATTAAGAAGCCAGTCAATCAAGTCTATTCACTAACTGAACTTGTTTTTAATTCCCAAATTTTTACTATAATAAAAAGCCCGAGGTTCATTTGCGTGGTTACATAACATGTTTCTATGTGTTTAACTCTCTAGGAGGGTTATAGAAGAGCGATTAGAACTTAGAGTAAGTTATGGGCTTCCAGTTTTATGCTTATTTTTAATATAATGTATTCATGTGGTTTAGTTTTGTAGCATCTTTTTGTTATTACTACAAATAATTTCATGTTAAATAAGACGTTTTACTAGGTGCAATTTGTGTATATATTTTATGTTATATTTAGTAAAAACACAGAGACCCCAAAATGACCTGTTTTATGTTTGTGTAATTAATATATTTACTTTATATTAATAATTAAATTCAAAAAAAGATCAGACTGATTTTTTATCTTTTATGTCTTGCCTCAACTGAGCATTTTGTTACAAGAAAATGGTATATTGAGTCTAACAGAATATCTTAAGGTAATTAAATATATTTACACTTAGCACACTAAATATTCAGGAAAATTTTTGAAAATCAGTTTAATCTTTTTAATGTTTTTTAGACTTGTTTTTGGTACTGGAAATCGAACTCAGGACCTTGCACTTGCCAGGCAGGTGCTTATGCCACTGAGCTACATCCCTGGCCTTAATCTTTTTAATTTTGACTGATGAATATCATGTAAGCATGTTCACAAGGTGAAACACTCTATTATTTAAGGTGATTCATATTCACATAGTGAAGCTGTATTAATGAGTGTGGGAAATTGCTTATATATTTTAGCATGCTGAGAGATGTATCACTGAGACTCCCAAACGTTATGCATGTGCTTGTTTTATCCATAAAAACTCTCCTATGAGCATTTGTGAAATGGCTTAGGTGTAGCATTCAATATGCACTTGTAGTTGATACCCAAAAATACAGACAATATTTTCCATGTATGTGAATTTCTCAGATTGAGAGAATCTTTGAGGTAGTGTTTGTAGGTGCTCAAACTATTAAGTGATTGAAAATTTTAGAGACTTAAGATCCTGTGAAGTTCCTGGCAATAACACAAAGTCTACCATCACTTTTATATCTAGTCTTTGTATATGTTTCAGTTGTTTACTCACTTGAACTCTAGCCAATTGTTATTTATTCACTTAATTTTTCCTAAAGGACATTTTTTTTCTAATGGTCTAGAAATATTTCACAAGAGCATAAATTTTTCTATAGCTACAAATGTAAGTTAACAATGATATTTTTCATTTTGTCTTTTAGAGCATCAGAGCATCAGGCCTTATCCTGCTGGAAACAATCCTTTTTGGGTCTCTGCTGCTGTACTTTCCTGTAAGTAACATAATTATATTTTAAAAAACAATTGCATTTGTATTTTATTTTGCTTTGGGAATATTTTATACATGTATAAATATACTGTATGTCTTACACTCACACACCACATGCTTTACAAAGCCCTCATTTATACACACATGCACATACAAGGACTTTACAGATATTTAAGTCCTATTACCATATATTTGACCTTAAACAAGTTGCTTATCGCTTATCATTTCCTATGTGTGTGTGTCAGGGGGAAGTGCTGGGGATCAAATTCAGGGCCTGGGCATGCAAAACAAGAACTCTACCACTAAGCCACACCCCCAGCCCTTGCGTATCAATTTTTTTGCTTATCATTTCTAACGCTCTGTTTCTGCTTATAAAGTGGAACAAGTTATACTTTTCTTCTCAATTTTGTCAATAAATACTTAAGGTAACATATGAAAGGCATATTTGGTATTCTGCCTTCCTCCCTTTTTACCTAAATCAAAACTATGAGACATACCAACTAATTAAAGCTGGAAAACTCCCTGTGGAAAAACAAATATGAAGAAAAATACATGTAATGAAAATAAACATAATGAAATAAATGTATGTGTGGTAGAGTTGCCCTGAGTAACCATAGCAGACTTACTATGACACTAATACCACCATCTCAAATCAGAAGATAAGTGCTGATTTTACGAAATCAGTTCACCCACCTTGTGTTCAGGAGTTATTATGTGCTCAACACTAGGGTAATTTTTGGAAGTTTTATTCTATGAGTAAGCAAAAGTTGATTTCTTCTCTCAAGAAGCTTATAATTTACAGGAAGATGAGTGTAAATGCTAAGGAGTAGTAAGAGCATAATTTTGTGGGACACTTAAGATAGACAGCGAACCAAATCAGGGGAGAAGATATGGAGATTCAGGGATCTGAAAGATAAGTAGCAATCAGAGGAGAAGGCAGGGCTGCCAGGATATCATAACCTTTCTCCTCTTACCTCGTGTGCTGTTCCACTTCAGCTTTCTTTGTGATCATCTCCTCCACCTTGATTCTTGAGTCCTTCAGACTCTATCCTCACAGTTTTGTTTAGTGTACACTCTCACATCTAATCTCAACGTTTTAAATACTGTCATTTATATGCTAATAACTGTTGCACTTACATTTTCAGCCCAGACCTCTCCCCCAGCTCCAACTGATACCCAACTCTACCTGACACGGCCACAGGAAGGCCCAGCAGAACTCCCTATCATGTTCCTAGCCAAGAAACTGATTTTCACATCTAATGTAGTCTCTGAATCTCTGCTGATAACTGTTCTACCCTTCAGTTTACTCAGACCAAAAGTCTTGGAGTCATTCTTCACACCCTTCCTTCTCATACATCCATCAGAAAACCTTTCAAAATAGAGCAAGAATCCTGTCAGTTCCCACTGTGATGGCTGCTATCACCTTCAATGAACCAGGATCAATCTCATCTAGATTATTACCATGTTCTCTTACTAGCCTTTGTGTTTCCATGTTTCCATGGATTCCAAAAATCCACCTATTTTTGAAATATCAGCCAGTTTTAACACCAAAGTTAGACTGACCATGTCACTCCTCTTTGCAAAACCCTTAGGTAGTTCCCCATTTTGTTTACAATGAAAGCTCAAATCCTTACAGCGGCCTCTACAGTCAAACATGATTTGGACTCTGCTCCCTGCCTTGCCTCACTGTCTAATCCTCCTCCCTTATTCATTTATAGACCAAGAATTCTAGATGTTCAGGATTTAAGTCACATTTTCCATTTCAGTTTAAAATGGAAGTATATTTAGGTATAATCTGTGCTACAGTCTAAATCTGCACCCCTAAACTCCTATACCATAAACTTGATCCTCAATATAATAGTGCTTAACATAATAGTTCCTTTTGGAAGTTGTTTAGGTTCCAAGGGCTTCCTCATCAATGAATTAAACCAACTGTAAAGGAGGCTAGAGAGTTTGGCCCCTTTTGCCCTCTACTCTCCGTCACACATGATTCACTAGAAAAGCCCACAGCAGACTCCCAGATGCCAGAACCTTGATCCTGGCCTTTCTGGCTTTTGGAACTGTGAAAAGTAAATTTCTGTTCTTAAGTGTCTGGTCTCAGGTATTTTGTTATAGCAACACAAATAGACTAAAACTGTTAATTTTTATTTTTCCATAAGATCACCCATATTATTTACTTTTTATAATTTGGCATAGAGTTACACATAGTGATTAAGAATAGAAGACAAGCAAGAGTATAAAAACTGAGTGTTTATTCTGCCTATACAAATGGCACGTTATGCATTATAATGCTTAATCTTGCCCATACAACTATGAGGCAGGTATTTCACCAAGTCACAGAACCATCTAAAGGTAATAAAAGATCTGGAAAGACTTCACTGTTCTGAAAATTAACCTCAGTAAACTGAACAGCAATTACTGCCATTTTTTTTCTTCGATTTTCTGCTTTTTTTTATTTCTGTTTTCTACCCAATCACCAGAGAAGTCTTTTAAAAATATCAAATCTGATCTGTCACCTCTTGGGGGCTCTTCAGTATTCTTTAATGAAACTCGTCACATGGTTTTGGATGTTAAATCTAGTGTGCTGCTTTCCTACCTCTGTAGCCTCAGCTGGTGCCTTTTCCCCTCACTTCCTGATCCTCAGCGACTCTGACTTTCATTCAGCTCTCATATAAACGTGGCCTGTCTCATAAACTGAACAGTTGAAGAAGCTCTCAAGGATTAGGTTGTTTGTGCAAGTCCAGGAACCACAACCCTGGTTTCTTTTGTTGTAATATCTATAATTAGACAACAGAACACTTTTTAACACTATTTTACAGTATACACAGAGGTTGATTCTCATTGTCTATAAGACCTGTACTTATTCAAATCAAGTGGTCATACTAATGAGTTTGGGCTTATAATATATGTAATTGTAAAGTCTGCTAAATAGAAGTGCTTTAAAAAAGTAAAAAAAAATTAAAAAGATTGTCAGCTGCTAAATATTCAAAGCAATTATTAGAGACCCTTTCAAGTATGAAAGACAAATATTTGCTGGATTTGTACCTATGGTGATATCAAATATAGAGAGATGGGAGAGAATTGAGTGATTAAAGACATATAAAGACAATACTTCTTGATTATTTTAATATACTTGGGAGAAGAAACCAGGAAATGAAGCTTACCAAATTCTACCTGTCCAAAACATTAGAATGGCTTATGTTGCTGACTTAATGTTTAATTTTACAACTATTTCATCATTTGTAATGTAAATTCCTTTGTAACTTTTTGAGACACTAATGTGTAGCTCTCAATTTTATGTTGTGTACCTTGGCTTTTAATTTAGTGTTCATGCTCTTAAGACAGAAAGGATCAAACTATTTAATTAAGATTTGGGATATAGCATAAGATACAGCCAGAGATAGATTAAAATTAGTATTAAGTTTGAAAAGGAGAGTAATTTCATTTTATATGAGAGATCGGAAAATGCTTGTTTTTTGTTTTTTGTTTTTGAGACAGGGTCACGCCTCATAATTCAGGCTGGCTTTGGTCTCAGGCTAACCTCAAACTCACAGTAAGCCTCCTTCCACAGTCTCCTGAGTTCTGGGATTATAGGCATTCACCACCATACCTGGCAAGAAAGTGCTCTTTTGGTAGCTGATAGTACACTTTGGCTACTTGAGAGCATGTTTGTGTGCATGGGAATACAGGCAAGAAGAATTCCTGACACAAAGAAGACAACTAGCCATTGGTTCAGGATGCTCTAGCCTCCTTAGGGGCTGCAGAAAAGAGATTTGTAACTTTTGGGTAGAGTTTTACTTTAGGGAAGCCCAGTAGTGAATTAAATGTTCAGGTGATCAAATGAACCAAGTACAACTTGAATGTCCCTTATCTGAAATACCTGGGACCTGAAGCATTTCAGATTTTGAAGTTGTTTGGAGTTTGGAATATTTGCATTGACTTTACCAGTCAAGTATCTTCAGCCTAAATTGAAAATCTGAAATACTCTGAAATCCAAAACTAAGTTCTAAAGCATTTTAGTTTTTGGGTTAGGGATGTTTACCTTGTATAGCCAAAAGGTCTAATCACTTGATGGTGTAAACGTGACTGATACTCTTCTTTGTTAAATATCTTGCCTACTTTCTAAGCTACTGGAACAGGCTAAAGCAGAATTGTTCCTGTAAGTTTAACTGGGTGTTACAGTTCTTTAAAAATACATAGTTGAATAAAGTAGAATTATTTTCAGGGCTAGATAACTCCATGGAAGGAAGTTTTGGGGATCTGCACGGTTCTACTGTGTTATGCAATGAGCTTTTTATTCTTTTTATGCTGCATATTGTTGTTCAGATTTGCAAGAATTAAAGTTATTTTTGCCTTTTCTAAGCAATCTTAGGCTGCAGACGATTTCATAACAATGCTTATATTGGAAAGTCCAAATTAGAGATTATCATCATTGTGCAGATGAGGACAAACCAAAATCCAACTAAATTTAGCATTGTTATAATTGGGAGCAGAGAGCTGAAGCATTAAAAACATTTTCTTACTGATTCTCTAAGGAGTCTCATTTGGCATCTATACATTTGTGAACAAATAATTAGTATTCACAATCACCTAAAAACTTTTATATTATTTATAAAAGGAAAAAAAACATGAAAAACAGCTGAAGTGTACATTTTTATTGAATTAGAGAGAAAAGACATCTATGACTTCATAAAATGATTGGCAATATAAAATGTAGAAGTTAGTTTGCTTTCACTAAGCACCAGTTTCAGTTCATAATGGAAGCTTTTAACCCTAACTGTGGTTATTAGTAAGTAGTAGTCACTAATAAGTAGTGAGCTGTTGACCGATATACCTATTCATAAAGAATAATACATGTGTGAATGGGATACTTATTTTCAGGTTGTTGTCCCCACCCTATACCAGGTCATATGAACAAGAACTGTAAAATAATAGAACAAGAAGAGGAAAGAGAACATCAGACACAAAGGTGTTTGGTCTTCGTTCTATTTCTTTATTTTGGAA